TGCATTTTAACTTTGAAATGATGTTGGGTACTGCCTCAGACTTCATAGAACACAGTGTTTGCAAGTAAAAAAGTATGACACTAAGTGTTTGCAAGTAAAAAAGTATGACTTATTTTGAAAAGTGTCTATGTATACAAGAGAAAAATATTATATAGAAACTGTTTACACCAGAGTGTAACAAATTAATTCAATAATATTGAACACCTACTATGTTCTAGACACCACAATGTAAGGATCAGAGACTCAAATTTTCTTTAAAATACAGAGAGGTAATTTAATACAGTTTTTGATTGGAGGGAATATTAGCGATGATATAGTCCTATACCTTCATTTTAATGATTTTTTAAATCAGAAGGAAGTGCCTTGTCCTTGACTATATAAGAGAATCATGGTTGGAATACAAATATCCTCACTCCCAGTGTTCTGAGAAGAAAAAAGATAATCATTTGCCTTGGCCGATACTTTATGCTCAAAAAGTGCCATTAGAGAGGAAGTGAGAACCCAAGGACCAACAATCAGCTATAGAAGCAACTAATTTTGCACAGAAGGCAGGAATTTGCAGAGATTCTGCTGCCTGTAGATTCATAAGAAAGTGGGTGTAGACTTTTGTTTTTCATTATGCAATTCAAATAATCATCCTACCAGATTCTAGAATAATTGAAAAAAGGTGGACCTCCAGATAGCCTTTGAGTATACACTGTCCTGAGAAGATTCTTAGAGGTACCAATTGTTCCAATGATGTTAAGTAAAACTGAAGTGTTGATGGATCTGAGTTTACCCTTAGCTGATAGAAATAAAGTTCTTTACACCTAATTGCAGGAGAAGAGTTACCTGTCCTGAAATGAAGAGCTAGTAAGAAATAAACTTACCTTATGGGGTGCCTGACTGAGTCAGAAAAGAACATAACTTTTGATATCAGGACTGTAAATTCAGGCCCCATGTTGGGTGTAGAGATTACTTAAATAAATAAATGTTAAAAAGGGAAATAACCCTCCTTTGTAAATTATTTTAAGCCATAGGAGAGTAGATAGGAGCATCAGAAGGAGAAATCAGAAGTAACACTGAAAATGCTTATTAGCTTAGTTGCTGGGGACTTCCCAACTAAGTAATATATTTCTGCTCTCTGATGGCACTGGTCCAAAATATAGGCAATGCATTGAATGAAATGCTGTTTCAATCTATCAAAATAATTCATAACCATGTTTGCTTTCACTAAGTAGATAAAAATAACATTTTGTTCAAAGGAGCCGATATGAGCATTACAGATTAATTCCATAAGTGGAAACTAAATACTATTTGTTTAGTAGTAATTTTGAACTTTCTGTTGATGTAAGCAAAGTCATTAAAGATCATAGGTACTTGCAGACATTTTCAAACAAAATTTTGTGTCTGGATATTACAGCTCCCGATGCTGTGATCTTTTTCTACCTAACACTTCAAAATTCATAGTGTCATCTCACATTTGTTTCTTATTCTACTATTTTAAAAAAGTCTCAATTGGGATCCCTGAGTGGCGCAGCGGTTTAGCGCCTGCCTTTGGCCCGGGGCGCGATCCTGGAGACCCGGGATCGAATCCCGCGTCGGGCTCCTGGTGCATGGAGCCTGCTTCTCCCTCTGCCTGTGTCTCTGCCTCTCTCTCTCTGACTATCATAAATAAATAAAAAAAATAAAAAAAAAAATAAAAAAGTCTCAATTAACTTATTACTTCTGGATAACTTCTTTGGAGCTAAATAAGTAAAATCTAGATAAATAAAATTATGAACACACTCTGAACAAAAAGCATATTTAAGGGAGTAACTGGCTGCATTATCTCTAGTAATCAAGTTTTCTAAGATATTCTACAACATAAATTTAAATATTAAAGATCTTCACAAGACCACTAAAATATATTAAATATAACACAAGCCTACTATATAAAATTGAAATGTTTACAGTCTTAAAAGAAGTATGTTATTATTGATTGAGTTATTGGGAAGAATCGACTTTCAGTTTTGTACTTGCATTAAAAAAATTCTATGGAAAAAAATTCTGTGAAAAGTCTAATCGACTTCCCAGACATTGAGTTATTCATCTCCTCTCCTTTCTTTTCTTTTTTCTTTTTTTTAATATTCATTTTTGACGAAGCACTTTATTTTTTTTTAATTTTTATTTATTTATGATAGTCACAGAGAGAGAGAGAGAGAGGCAGAGACATAGGCAGAGGGAGAAGCAGGCTCCATGCACCGGGAGCCCGATGTGGGATTCGATCCCAGGTCTCCAGGATCGCGCCCTGGGCCAAAGGCAGGCGCCAAACCACTGCGCCACCCAGGGATCCCCCTTCTTTTCTTTTTAAAAGATGTTATTTATTCATAAGAGAGGGAGAGAGAGAGAGAGAGAGAGCAGAGACACAGGCAGAGGGAGAAGCAGGCTCCATGCAGGGAGCCTGATGTGGGACTCGATCCCGGGACTCCAGGATCACGCCCTGGGCCAAAGGCAGGCACCAAATGACTGAGCCACTCAGGGATCTATCCTCTCCTTTCTTCATGGAATTTTTTTCTATTGAGGAAACATTTGTTTGGAGTTCTGTTTAGGTTTTCATCCCCAGGTAAAGATGCAGGTATTTTCTATTTCTAATTCTTTTTTTTTAAAGATTTTATTTTATTTATTCATGAGAGATACAGGGGGTGGGTGGGCAGAGACACAGACAGAGAGAGAAGCAGGCTCCGTGCAGGGAGCCCAATGTGGCACTTGATCCCAGATTCCGGGATCACGTTCTGTGCCGAAGGGAGGAGCTCAACCGCTGAGCCACCCAGGCATCCCAGTATTTTCTATCTGAAATTTTACTCCTTCCCTTTGACAACTGCTACCTCAACAGAAGTTTGATCAGATGGGTGGTGTTCAGGGATTAAAACCTAGCCCAATAACTTAGTATGCTTTTTTCCTTATGCCTCAAAATTCAGTATATACTCAAAATATTATATATTTTATACTCAATATAAATGAGTATATATACTCAGATATATATACTCATATATATACTCAATATATTTCAGACTGCTTATCTTATTAACAACCATCTATATGATATATAATTCCAAGAGCCTTAGTCAGAATTTAGCAAATTCCATGATTGGTCAGTCTACATGAATGATTATTATTGAGAGTAGAATCTGATAGTTTTCTCTCACTAAAATATTTTATTCATTTAAATGAAATGGTCAGAGGTAACTCGGATAGGAGAATAAAATAAACCATTCTATACTACCCCAGTTAGTGTGTGAGCAGATAAGAAAATAAGCCAGTCTACTATCCATAAAACCCAGTTAGTGAGCTGTGCTTATAAATGGAGGTTCAAGATGTAATTTATTTTTGTTTAGTTGTTTCAAGATATAGTTTAAATCATCCAGAGTTGGTGATATAAAAAATTGTATTTATACTCTGAGATCATATGAACCAAATCTTAATGCTTGGATGAGACAATCTGACTCCTATGACCAATACCCAAGATTCAAGTTCTTTAAAATTATTTACTATTAAATTCTTCTTTAAAAGATTTATTTATTTATTTATTTGAGAGAGAGAGAGAGAGAGAGAGCACATGCACAGGGGTAGGAATAAAGGGAGAAGGGGAGAGAGTCTTAAGCAGACTCTGTGCTGAGCATGGAGATCACGTGGGGACCTGAGATTACCATCTGAGCTGAAACCAAGAGTCAGATGCTTAAGTGACTGCAATGATCTCCAGGTCCTCTGACTGAGCCCCACATTGGGCTTCCTACTCAGCTACATTGGGCTTCCTGCTCAGCTGGGAGTCTGATTCACTCTCTCTCCCTCTGCCCCTCCTCTGCACTCATTATCTCTCAAATAAATTAATGAAATCTTTTTTTTAAAAAAAATCAAAGAATTATGTCACAAACATCCAAATAAATCAGATTCAAAAATGTATGTGAATGGAATCTCTTAGACATATACATTTGGAATCTTGTAATAAAGAATTTTACAATAATTGCTGGGATGTAAATATCACAATATTGATTTAGAGAAACATATTACCTTTAGTACCTAATTCAAAGGCATCAACTCAGTATTATCTTAAAGAAGACTGATGATTTCAGGTTACAAAGCAGGTTCTCATTAATTTTCAAGACAGCTTTTCAATTATTTATGTTTTTTTAATATTTTATTTATTTATGCATGACACACACACACACACACACACAGAGGCAGAGACACAGGCAGAGGGAGAGAAGCAGGCTCCATGCAGGGAGCCCAACGAGGGACTTGATCCCAGGTCTCCAGGATCACACCTTAGGCTGAAGGCCACGGCTAAACTGCTGAGCCACCTGGGCTGCCCTAATTATTTATGTTAAATGGCATAGCAAATTTAGAAGCATAAGTGGCCAATCATTGCATTATCAGATCATAGAATCCTCCAACTTAGGACTGGCAAAGACCTTGGCTATCATGTACTTAAACAACTCATCAAAATCTATTATCCTCTGTATTCTATGAACTCCAGGCCATCAACTTACTTTTGAAAAGAGCTAATAGTAGAACCTCCTACTTCTGAGGCAATCCATTTTCCATTAGAACAACTTCAACAACTCAAAACTTCGTTTTTTTCTACACACCAAGCCACAGTTTCATTCACACCTTTGGGCCATGATGAATTAGACTAATCATTCTTCTAATGACAACCTTCCTTTCCTTAATTATTTGAAGAGTTTCTACATGACAGAAGCCTTATTTTATATGGGTTAAATTTGCTAAATTGTTTAAATTCTTATTTGAATACTGTTAATCCTTCATTCTCCCACTCTTTAGCCCTCTATTTTTTAGGGATATGGCCTTGTAAGTGGACACTAATGAGCATATTTAAAAATTCACTCTCATTTTTAAATATCATCAAGCACATAGATTGCAGAAGACACTGTAGTAGGCACACAGCATCAGGTGCTCACATGGTTGACAATCAAAATTATAATACTGGTGATATCAACAAATATTTGTTCACTATAATGCTTTATAAAAAATTATTTTATTATATTTTCTCAGAATTTGCATGAGGTAGATAAGACAAGTCTTTTTAATTTTTTTTTCAAGTACTAGTCAACTTTTATTGGATATTAATTGTGAATTAAGCAATGGAAGGATTCAAAGATGCCAGGCAAAAGTCATGGTCAGGAATGCCAAATGTGCTTCCACACTGGGCCCTCTTCAGGGGTACTTGCGTAGCTGTTGATGTTTGAGCTCCTTGTAAGAACAACAGTAGTTGAAAAGCACATAAGCAGCCAGCACCATAGAAATCCCAGCAACGCCCCCTTTCTTCACATTGATATACTTGTTGTAATACCGGTAGTAACCTCTTTGAAATGTTCCAGTGATGCCCTTAGAGGTGAAATCCTGCATCAGTATCCAGCCTGGCAGCTCTCCTAGTTTCACCTCCATGAGCATCTTTTCCTTCACTGGTATGGGCGATGCCATCTTGGAGTCCTGGGTGTCCGCCAAGTCTTTTTAATTTTCATGTTAATTTGAAAACTATAGACATTGTGGCCCAAGAGAATAACAGTTCCAGGAATATTATTCAGGTCTTCTAACACCAAAGATCAGGTCTTCTCTGGTATAGACATCAATTACTTTTCTCTTTCATAAAAATAATTTTGATTGCTATGTAGAAAAAGGGGAAATATCTCTCACAGATCTCCATTATTTTATAAAACACTTCCTTTTAGTTAATATTGGGGAAAAACTGAGACCTTGATCTTCTTTAAAAGAGGCTGCAATTCAGTTGGGTTTTTTTACATTAGAAAGAGAATCTTTAAAAAAAGATTTTATTTATTTATTTTACAGAGAGAGGAGACAGAGCATGCAGGGTAGAGAAGAGGCAGAGGAAAAGGGAAATAGAGTCTTTTTTTTAAAATTGGAGTTCAATTTGCCAACATATAGCATATCACTCAGTGCTCATCCTGTCAAGTGCCCCCCTCAGGGCCTGTCACCTAGTCATCCCATCCCCCTGCCCACCCCCCCTTCCACTACCCCTTGTTTGTTTCCCAGAGTTAGGAGTCTCTCATGTTCTGTCACCCTCACTGATATTTTCACTCATTTTCTCTCCTTTCCCCTTTATTCCCTTTCACTATTTTTTATATTCCCCAAAATGAATGAGACCATATAACGTTTGTCCTTCTCCGACTGACTAATTTCACTCAGCATAATACCCTCCAGTTCCATCCACGTCGAAGCAAATGGTGGATATTTGTCATTTCTAATGGCTGAGTAATATTCCATTGTATACATAAACCACATCTTCTTTATCCATTCATCTTTCGATGGACACCGAAGCTCCTTCCACAGATTGGCTATTGTGGACATTGCTGCTATAAACATTGGGGTGCAGGTGTTCTGGTGTTTCACTACATCTGGACCTTTGGGGCAAATCCCCAGCAGTGCAATTGCTGGGTCATAGGGCAGTTCTATTTTTAACTCTTTGAGGAACCTCCACACAGTTTTCCAGAGTGGCTGTACCAGTTTCCATTCCTACCAACAGTGCAAAAGGGCTCCCCTTTCTCCACATCCTCTCCAACATTTGTTGTTTCCTGTCTTATTAATTTCCCCCATTCTCACTGGTTTGAGGTGGTATCTCATTGTGGTTTTGATTTGTACAGAAATAGAGTCTTAAGCAGGCTCCATTATGAGTGCAGAGCCCTGGGCTCCTGGCTCAGTCTCACTCTAGGATCAGGGCCTTGAGACCATGACTTGAGCTGAAATCAAGAGTTTAACCAGACTGGTCCACACAGGTGCCCCCATTAGGAAAAGAATCTTACAAATGTCACAATGCAGGGTGGGGGTGGGGGTGGGGAAACCCTAACAAAAGAGATGTAACCCAAGGCACGAATGGCTTGTTAGCAGGAGAAAAGTAAAGAAAACCTACAGCATACATTAAGAAGTTTTTAATGAAATTAGAGAGTACTAAGATTTAATAGAGCTCTACTGATATAAAAATGAAACTTCTGAAAACTGACTCAATGCAAAGAGTAAGAAAACTAAGCAGTGATCAAAGAAAATTTTAAACTTTCCTGCTCAAATAAAACCAATAGAAGGAATAACCTCACCTGGAAAAGGGAATCTTCCTCTTTACAAAACCCTGAGTCTTCCTGAATCAAAGAGGCTCGTTTTTCTCACAGCTGTCCTGGCTGAGGAGCGTGTCCACATAGTTGGGCTGCAGGAAGATCATGTGACTCTCCTGGGAGCTGGCAGTCAGGGACACCTCCTGAGAATAAGTCTGCAGGAACGCCCGACCCCGTCCACACCCACAAACTGCGAGGCCAGCACACCTAGCAGCCCTCCTCCTGCAGCCTGGAGCAGACGTGCTGCGTGCTAGTGCCTCAGCTTGAGCACCAGCAGCACGATGACAAAGGTGAGGAAGACGCAGGAGACTGAGGCCACAGCCACCACCAGGCACAGCCTAAGGTCGGAGTCCTCTGGGTCAGCTGAGGTCCTGATGCTGCCCAGGTCCACCAAGATGTCGGGGACGCTGTCCGCCACAGCCAAAGTGAGCGTGACGGTGGCTGAGAGAGGGGGATGGCCGTGGTCCTGCACCGCCACTACCAGGCTCTGCTTGAGCGCGTCTCTGTCCAGCAGGGCCCGAGCTGTGCGCACCTCTCCCATGTGCAGCCCCACCTGGAAGAGCCCAGGTTCGCTGGCCTTGAGCAGGTGGTAGGACAACCAGGTGTTCTTGCCAGAGTCTCTGTCCACTGCCACCACCTTGGTGACCAGGTAGCCAGACTCTGCATATCGGGGAGTCAGCTCCACGCCTGTGGAACCATCATTGGGGAGGGCAGGGTACAGGATTTCTGGTGTGTTATCATTGTGGTCCAGCACGAATATACTCAAGGTCACATTGCTGCTAAGTGGTGGGTCCCCTCTATCTTGTGCAGTCACTCTCAACTGCAGGTCACAGAACAGCTCATAGCCAAAGGAGTGCAAAGCATACAGGATACCAGTGTCAGAGTTGATGGACACATAGGAGGATAGAGATGCCCCCTGGAGCGTGTCTTCAGACAGGGAGTAAGTGACATGGGCATTCTCCTGGCTGTCTGGGTCATGTGCAGTCACCGAGAAGATGGAGGCATCTCTAGGGTTGTTTTCAGGGATGTAGACAGAATAGGAGGACTGGAGGAAGGCGGCCGGGTTGTCGGTATCTGCCACATCTAGGTAGGTAAGTATTTCTGTAGACAAAGGTGGAATTCCTTTATCTGTAGCAGTTATAGTGATGTTGTACAGGGATACCTGTTCTCCATCTAGTACTGTATTTGTCACTAATTGATAATAATTTTCTACTGATTTTTTCAGTTCAAATGTCAGACTTCTAGAGATGGTACATGTTACCAGGCCATTCAGTCCAGAGTCTCTATCACATACTTGAAAAAGAGCGATTATTGTTCCTGGAGGCGTACTTTCTGCAACTGATCTGCTTCCGGATGTAACTACCACTTCTGGTACATTATCATTTACATCCAAGATAGTTTTTAAGGCTTTTGCTCTGTCAAGTAGACCTGGACGATCCCTGGCTTCAACATCCAGCTCATAAAAGCTTGAGTCCTCATAGTCTAGATTTGCAGAAGTTGATATTTCTCCAGTGGAAACATTTAAGCAGAAAATCTTTGAGATCTTTTCTGTTACCTTCAGGAAGGAATACGTTACTTCTGCGTGAACTCCTTCATCCTGCTCAGTAGCATTTACCGACAATACTGGTATATACCTACTGGCATATTTTCAGGAATGCTCACACAGTAGACAGACTGAGTAAACACCGGAGCATTGTCATTAACGTCTAGGACAATTACCAGAATTCTTGCAGTGCCTGAGCATACAGGATCACCACCATCCACAGCAGTAAGGACCAAGTGGTAAATGGCCTGTCCCTCCCGATCCACTGCATGCTCCAGCACCAGCTCTGGATACTTGGGCCTACTGACTTCGCTCCACACGTCCACTGAGAAGTGACTATTCTCACTGAGTGTGAAGCCCTGAAGAGAGTTCATTCCTACATCCAAGTCATAAACCTCCAATAGTGGAAAACGAGAGGATGGGACTGCGTTTTCCAGAATTTTCACTTCCAATTCTTCCCTGAAGAATCAGGGTGTATTGTCATTAATGTCCACTATTTCCACTTGTATGGAATAAAGATTCAGTTTATCCTCAATAAGGACGCTAAAACTCACCAGGCACGGTGCAGTCTGGGCACAGAGCTCCTCACGGTCTATCCTGCCTGCGGTGACCAAGCTGCTGCTTTACAGGTTCAGAGCAAAAAGCTACGTCTTCCCTCTGGAGATGATTCAGACTCCACGCTCCGCCAGCTCCTAGGGCCCTAGCCCTAGATCGTCAGCTATGTTTCCCACGAAGGAATCTTTGTCTAACTCCTCAGGAATGGAATAACAGATCTGCCTGGCCTCAGCTTCCCATAGAGTCCCTAGAATGAAGAGCACCACTATCACACTGTGGTGCTGGCACTTTTGCAGAGCAGCCATTACTGGCTCCTTATGGACTTCCTTGGGATTTGAGTAGGGGGTACAGGCTTGCAATCACTTTGGTGCTTCTCAGAATTGGAAGCCAAGGTCCATAAACAAGTGGAGGTCAGATGAGAAGTGCTTTAGATTAGAATTTCTGCACAACTGGTGAAACCATGTCTGATCTCTGTGCTGGGGGATATAACTTGAGTTATCATTGCTTTCCTTGCTCGGGTTAGTGAACAGTGATACTTAGAGTCCTAATTTAATACTGCACCATTTTTGTGAAACCATCATATAGAAAACCTTATTTCTGTTAAATCTACTTACATGTCACTCATAGTATTTCTCTCCCCCAAAAGAATAAAAGAGCACATTTGAATAATTTTATATGTTCCCTGTAATTTACCATTTGTTTTTTGTGTTATAGCTCCTAGGGCCTTGGAGAACAGAAATAAGATTACATTTTCACGTAAGTCTTGAATTTTCAAATTCCATCATTTGTATTTGTTCCATTTTCATTCTTTATGATCCAAGTTCTTATTTAAATTCTAGTTAGTTAACCTATAGTGTAATATTAGTCTCAGGAATAAAATCTAGAGATTCATCACTTACATATAACACCCTGTGCTCATCACAAGTGCCTTCTTTAATACCCATCACTCATTTAGTCCATCCCCCTTGCCCACCTCCTTTCCAGCAACCCTCAATTTGTTCTCTGTAGTTAAAACTCTCTTTTGTCCCATTTTCAGTAAGGGCACCAAAGACACATTTGGAACTAATCCACCTACTGCCAGTTAGTTACAAGTATTGTCATTTTTAGATGTCACTACCTATTTTATGAATGCATAGGTTAACAAACAACCTAACTCAGGCAATATTTCTGTATAATTTTTAAAAAATGAAAAGGGGGCTTTGGGCTGCCCAGTTGGTGGAGACTGCAACTCTTGATCTTGAGGGTCATGAATTTCTTTAAAAAGATTTTATTTATTTATTTATTTATTTATTTATTTATTTATTTATTTATTTATGACACACAGAGAGAGGCAGAAACATGGGCAGAGTTCTCCCTCTGCGGACTCCTTGGGGAGCCTAATGTGGGACTTCATCCCAGAACCCCTGGATTACAACCCTGAGCCGAAAGTAGGCACTCAACCACTGAGCCACCCAGGTGCTCCAGGGGTCATGAATTTGAGCCCTCTGTTGGGTGTAGAGCTTGCTTAGATGAATAAAAAAGTTTTAAAATAAAACGTGAAAATATATTTGCTACAATGGCAAAAATTTATATTTATATATTATATGTAGTTTAGGATTAACTGGATTGAAACTAAACCACTTATTGCCTTCATTTGTGTTTAATTATATATAGATAATGTTTCTCAATGACCGCGTGATACTAATAATCAAAATGTTTCAGGATATATGCTTTTAGATTTAAAAACTTTTT